CAACACTCACCCTGCTGAAAGGATGGATCTGCCAGCCCTGCTTCTCCCTCCAGCCACCTCCCTGCAGCTCCACACTGAATTCACAGAGGTCCCCACCTCCCAGCCACAGGGGCTCATCAGGCTCCGGATCCCGGGCTGCAATTCTGTCCAAGTTGCCATCAGGTTGTCAGCAAGACAGTAGATATTTGACAAGCTTATTTTGGTTACTAGTGAGAGAATCCAAAGTAAAACTTCTCAAGGCCCTAACCGGTTTGGCTCAGTGGATAGAGCGTCGGCCTGCGGACTGAGGGGTCCCGGGTTCGATTCCGGTCAAGGGCATGTACCTTGGTTGCGGGCACATCCCCAGTAGGGGATGTGCAGGAGGCAGCTGGTCGATGTTTCTCTCTCATTGATGCTTCTAACTCTCTATCCCTCTCCCTTCCTCTCTGCAAAAAATCAATAAAAATATATTTTCAAAAAAGAAAAAAAGATTTTTGCTAACCTAATACAAAGTCCAGACGTGGCTGTGGCTTCAGGCTTTGCTGGAGTCAGGAGCTCAAATTTGGTCCTTGTCTATCTGTCTTTCCCGCCTTCACTCTCCCCATTTTCTGCTCCCGTTGGTGGTGGTGTAGTTCTTTCCCCTCTCCCATGAATGGCACCCGAATGCCTCTTGCTTCACAATCCTTGTAGCTATCTAGCAATCCCAGAGGAAAGTGAGATTCTCTTTCCCAATAATTTTAGGGGAAAAACAAAACAGGAATGGTCCCATTGACACAGTTTGATGCACGTGCTTCCCAAGTGAACCTTCCCTTGTCCACTCTGGTTGAGGATGAGGCCTCCAACTTGCCCGGCCAGGGTCGTGGGCTGACCTTTGGATTCAGGGGCTGACTGCGCCTCAGCCAAACGCATGGACATGAAGAGAGAGAAGTCCCTAAAGGAGAGACCAGTTCAGTATCTGGAAAGGGGGAGTGGAGCACCCCAGACACCCATCCCCATGGAGGTCCAAGCCAGGCACCCGTCGAGTGGCCGGTGAGGTTTAGGGAATCTGGCTTCTGGTATTTGAGCAACACTGTTTATGTTGGACTTGAACAAAGGAACAGAAGAAGGTGGGTCTGGCCTGCTGTATATTCTGCTTGGCTCAACGGGGCTGTTTTTTGTTTTTTTTTAATTGACCGTCAACATTTAGAACTTGCAAACTTTAGGGCCTCTCTTAAACTGGAGCCTCGCCATGTCCATTTTTCCCACCCGGCGACAGCAGGCTGAGCTGAGCAGAGGCTGCCCTGAGCAGGGGCCGCCCCTTTACTGAACCATCCTCTCCTGTTCACAGTCATCCCCACTATTCCCTGTGCTCTTCCATCCTCCCCCCCCCCCCGCCCCCAGTTCACTCCTTTGCCACCCCCTGGCCCCTGGAGCCATCTGAATTTGCAATCTGCCGTGGCCAACTTTAGCTCTGGCCACCCAGCCTCTCCAGTGGCACTTGGCAAGCGTTCCCTGGTCAGGACGGGCTGGGTCAGGTGCCTCTGTCTGGCTGTGCTGTCCTGCCCTTAGGGTGCTTCACACATGCTAGGAAGTGAGTCGATGGCCACTGCTCTATTGCAGGGATTTGCCACCTTTGCATTCCTTTTAA